TTCTGGATCATTCCCCTCTCCTTCCTGCTATCTAGTGACAGCCCCAATGTACCAACTCTTTAATAAATTCCTAATGTTAAGAAAGTTGTAGTCACACTAATTATGGTAGAAGGCCAAGCCTGGTAAAAGCACCTTAGGTCTTCAGTAGCTAAACAGGAACTTTACCAATTGTTTCATAGCTACAATGAGCACAATAAACAAACCCCCCCCCAAAAAAAAAAACAAGAAAACAATCCCACTGCCATCGAGTCGATTCCAACTCATGATGAACCTATGGGACAGAGTAGAACTGCCCTATAGGGTTTCCAAGGCTGTAATCCTTATGGAAGCAGATTGCCACATCTTTCTCCCATGGAATGGCTGGTGGGTTCAAACCACCAACTTTTGGTTAGAAGCCGACTGCTTAACCATTGCACCACCAGGACTCCTTTCAATAAACAAACCTCCAGGGAATAACACAGTGAGTATAAGGGATCCATATAGAGTTGGAGCTGAGCACTTAACCACTGCACCACCAGGGCTCCTCTGGAGATTATCAAGCTTGTCTCAATTTATACTCCCTCAACTAATGACTAACGGTACTTATGCACTTTCGCTAACGCTGGCTGCTCTCATTTGTTTTTAACTTGCTAATCTGAAAGGTGATGATGGTACTTTATTGTTTTAATTCCATTTCTTTAACTCATATGAGCTTGAACAGCCTTTCAAATATTATTTGCAACTGTTCTTTAACTGAGTGCCTGCTATATTCTAGGCACCATTCTAGGTGTTGGGGATACAACTGTTAATAAAACAAACATGCAGAGATGACATTTTAGGGCAAGAAATAAACAACAAAAACACAAAATACAAAAAAAGGTAACAAAAAAAAAATTTCAAGTATGAAAATGCTATGAAAACAAAACAAAACAAAGCTGAGTAAAGGAACAGAGAGTAAATGGGTCCATTGCTTTAGACAGAATGGCCAAAGAGGGCTTCTCTGAGGAGATAATATTTGAACAGAGACTGCATAGTGAGAGACTGCACCATGTGGGTTCTTGAAGAAGAACATTCTAGGCAGAGGGAAAAGCAAGTGCAAAGCTCCTGAAGTGGAAACATGATTGTGTGCTTGAGAAGCAGTAAGCAGGTCAGTGTGGCTGGAGCACAGTGAACAACAGGGGAGAGTGGTGGTAGCAAAAGAGGTTGGAGAGATGATAGTGGGAGGCCACATCACATAGGGTCTACCTTGCAGCCATTGAAAAGGCTTTGGATTTTATCCTGAGAGTTTTGAGAAGTCATTGCAGGGCTCTGAGCAGTGCAGTCGTATGACCTGACTTATGCTAAGGAATTAATTTGGCTGCTATGTGGAAAAGGGCCCACAGGAGAGAGTAGAGGAAGAAGGGAGATTAGTTAGGAGACTACAGTAGCTGAGATGAGCCACAATGGTGACTTGGTATCAGCAGTGCAGAGGGAGAAAAGAGATTTGTTTCAGGATACACTTCATAGGGATTTGCTGATGGACTCTGTGTGGTATGAGAGAAAAAGAGGAGTCAAGCACAAATCCAAGGTTTTAGCTTGATCAACTGAGCAGTGCTATTTACTGTGATGGAGAAATGCTGGGGAAATAACAGGCTTGTGGGAGTGGAATGTCAAGAGTTCAGTCTGGGAAGTATTAAATTTGAGACATCCAAGAGGAGATATTGAGTAGGTAGTGGGATACATAAGTCTGGAGTTCAACAGAAGAGGTCAAACTAGAGATGTAAATTTAGGACCCTTCTGCCATAGATGGCATTTAAAGCCATGAGCCTGGGATGAGATCCTCTAGGGAATGCTACAGACAGAGAAGAAAAGAAGCCCCATGTTTAGAGGCAGAGAAGGAGGATCCTGTAGAACATGGCATGAGATGGAATGGCCACTGAGACAGGATCTTGTGTCTCTTTGAGCTACGGAAGTTCTTTATACATTAATGACACCATATTTTGTCAGTCACATCTACTGCAAATATTTTCCCAATTTTCTGTTTGTCTTTTGATTCAGTTTATGTTGTTTTTGACATATCTAGTTAAAAATATTTGTTGCATAGTACAACCAAACCATCAGTCTTTTTCTTTGTGATTTCTTCCATTACTTTTAAGGTTAAAAGGGCTTCAAGTAACTAGAGATCAGATAGGCATTTGTGTTTTACTCTCATCTGGGTTTGACTGCACTCTGATTCACCTGGAATTTATTTTGGTGTGTGGTGAGGCTGTAGGTTGATACCTTTTAAGATGATTTGCCAATTTTCCCACCTCCATTCATTAACTCTTACCTTACTCACTGGTCTGTGATGCTTTCTCCATCTCACACTATATTTCATTTGGTTCCATTTCAATCTTAAGCTTTTGTACTGCAACAAGCTGATGAAAAATATTCCGTCCAATCATCAAAATGATACTGTGTTATAAGAATCTCCAAGTACTTAAAAGGATACATGTAAAAAAGAACCAACATTTTGCAGAAGAAAAATCCAGGGAGAGAAAACTAAATAGAAGAAAGATAAAAACATGGAGAGTAGAAAGGAAAGGGTATGGCCCATTTCCTTTTTGAAAAAAAAAAAAAAAAAGCAGATGCTGAAAAAAAATGTAGAAAGATAATCCATGTATACATACAAATTAGTTGAATGCCTTCCCTATGCCAGGCATTGTCCTAGGTGAGTGAAACAAAGTGCCTGTCCTCAGGAGGCTTATATTTTAGTGGGGAAGTTGATGAATACCTAAATGAATTCTGTAACATTAGTTAGCAATGAATGCTATGAAGATAGTAAGATCGGGCAATGGGATAGAGTCACTGAGGAAAAGAAGACAATCAGGGAGGTCAAGAGCAGGCTCTCTGAAATGACAGTAGGCTGAGCCCTAAATAATAAAAAGGCATGGCAAGATGGAGGTACAGGGATTCCCCAGGAGGAGGGAAGAGCAGAGTGCAAAGGCCCCAAGCGAGATTAAGAAACAGTGTGGCTGCAGCATACCTGTTGTCTTTGAGTGGATTCTGACTCATAGCAACCCTACAGGACAGGGTAGAATTGTCCCAGAGGGTTTCCAAGGCTGTAATCCTTATGGAAGCAGACTGCTACATCTTTCTCCCACAGAGGAGCTGGTGGGCTCAAACTGTTGACCGCTCTTTAGCAGCCTAATGCTTAACTTCTGTGTCACCAGGGCTCCATACCAAAGAAAAAACTTGTTGCTGCTGAGTCGATTCCGACTCATAGGGCTCCAGAGGAGTAGAGAAGAGGGGAGAGTGGAAGGAGATAAAGTCAAAGACAGAGGGAAGCGTCATAGGAAGAAGGCTGCACTACAAAGATAATAAACAGGAAACCTTTGAAGGGGTTTAAAATGGGGGTATTATGTTTTTACCGGGATTGAAACAATTAATAATTATTTTAAACTCATTTTCACAGAGTTAGAATTTCAACTATTATAAGCTTTCCCCCTAAATTATGGACATTTTTAAAAAATGCCTTTGTTTTGGTGAATTTGCCTTAGGAAAAAAGATAGCAAATTGGTATACAGGCAGTACCAGGGTTCCGAACATCCAGCTTACATGGATAACACCTACTTGCCCTTTAACGTTATGTAAATTGACCTATTATAAACTGAGATCTCTTTGGCTGTTGTGTGAAAAATAACCTGGTGATGGGGGGAGACAAGGGGAGTAGAAGGAACTCTGGCTGAAAATATCTTGTATAAAGAAAGATCCTACAATACCTTGTTCTGTTAACGATACCAAGCTAAACATCTGATATAATGGGGAGGAAATACAAGTGATGAGACTGTAAGATTCCTGAGGGCGGGGGATTTTTGTTTGGTTTGTTCACTGGATATCTCCAGTGCCCAGAATAATGAGAGTCTGTCTCTCAATAAATACTTGCCAAAATAAACAAAAGAAGAGAGTAGAGGGAATAGCCTTTTATTTATGAAACAAGAATCAGATGAAATGAACAAACATAAAGAGCTTCACAGAAGTCTCATGGGCTACTGAACCGGTCTCATAATTACACGGTACATCAAAATACGGGACAAGCAGATTTCAGTCAAGGATGGTTGACTTTATAATAACAGTGCACTAAAACAGAGTTCAAAATTCAAATTTAAATTCAGCCACTTTCTTGTAAACTTCTTCTCACCCCTCAGACTATGAGTTCCAACATGGCAGAAGCTATGTCTTCTTTTTAACTTGCCAATAAGAGCAGAGCACATTGCATATAGGTGCTCCATTAACATGCATTTAGACTGTTGGAATCCTACTGAAGTATATAAGTACATAGTAAAATGCTTAAGGGAGAAAATTTGGACAACTTGGCAGCATTTATCATTACTAACATTTTTGTCTTCTAGAGTAAACTTTGAAATTATATTCTAATTTGAGATGGTTTCCGTTTGACAAGTTGACTCTTGAGACATCTGAGTACGGTATTATGAAAGAACACAACTGTTCATCAACCCTTTATGCCAATGTTAATTTCTTTAAGAAGTAGGATTTTAATGTTTTTTTATTCCTACAGTGACCCTTAAAATTTCTATGTATATAATCACAAATGTACTCACAAGATGCATTTATATGCTTATTGTGTAGTTCTAAAGACAGTTGGGAAAACCAATTTTAATTTTGTTACTGAAATAATTTTAAAATATATTATAGAACTGCCTTTTTTTCAATCAACAGGAAGAATCTAGAAAGAGATTATACAAGTAGGCACAATTTATTCAAGTTTATTAGTGTTAGAAAAACGAAGTTGTCTAACTTCAAACTGTAGCAAGTATGCTTATATTTATTTAATTTTTCATTTTACCACTGACATCAATGTACATCATTTTCTTATGCCTTTAATAAAACTTGGATGATAATTATTTAACAAAGCTTCATTATGTGTACTAACAAACTGATATGCTAAAATCTGGAAAATTACTTTCAGCAAATGTGTAAAATTTTCTGATGACCTCTGAGAATATCTTTGTGACTTACATCATCAGAGAAAGGGGACTTACCGGCTTTTATTCATGAGGTCTGCTCCCCGTGCTTTGTAATAATCCAAATTTTGATGGAATTGGTAAGTCACTGGTCTTGGATTTCTCTAAAGGAAAAACAAAAAAAACCACCACAATAAATTAAAATATGTAAAACTGTTAAATTATACATCCACACCTATAGAGAACAGAAATGATTGTTTTTAGATTCCTTCAGAAAAAAATATGCATAATAATGAAGTTTAATAATTAGTGTGCTTGGAGTTTTGCTTTTATTGTTCAAGTTTTGCCTTAACTGATCTCAGTCCTGATGAAATACGGCGATTATTTTACTATATTTTATTTTTACCGGTTTCCTAGTTCACACCAATGAATTGTTGCCATTTATTTTTGATGACTTTGATTACTTTCAAATACGACTTTCTAAAATATAATCAGATAAAGCTACCCACTACAAAACTAAAAAAATTATACGATATAACACAAGCACAATCTATGCTAAAGGACTAAGAGACACAATGCGTCAAGGAAGCTGCATTTTGGAGGAAGAGTAAAAATGACAATTAATTTTTAATGACCAGAATGCTAAATATGTCCACTAGATGGCACACCGAGCCTTTCTTTTCCTAAAACTAATGAGTTATTTCTGGATTCAGCAATTCTTTTAAAGTTAACAATTTCTGTGTCATATATTGTCATTTATGAGTTTAATAAGTGCCCAAAACGTGCCAGGTACTAGAAATATTAGCAGGGTAACCATCACAATACAAAAGCAAATTGTCCAGTGCACATTTTAATAAAAGCAGCAATAACACCGCCCTTTTTGGCATTTAATATTATTTATAAACACATCAGAAATTTCTTTGAATCATTAGGCGGGGTGTGTCTGTTTAAATATGTTGCATTCTATTATTTAAATGTATCAAGTCCCCTATAGGTAAATAAAAATCAAATATACTTCTAGTTTATAAAAATATAAACATATTAATGGTATAACTTGAATGAATACCATCATCTCTAAAATGTAAAATTACATATATTGTCCATAAAAAAGTAAAAGAAAAAAACTCGTAAGCAAATGTATTCCAGTGTTTACCTGAGTCTGTAATTCAAGTTAATAATTAGGACTTTGAACCAGAGCATGCCATGTCCTTTTAGAGTTCTAACTAGACAGAGAAAGGCTGTATCTTATCTTAAAGCAAAATTACCAATATGCTTTGGTATCAATCCTTGGAGACATAATCCCAAAGCACTGATATTCTTGCGTATAGGTGGAGGTATATAATTGCGAAGGTTAAATAGTTTAAAATTCATCAAGCTAACAAGCTGCATCTTAATGGCAGTGATGGACCTTTTCTTTTTCTGCTGAAAAGAGAATATTTACATAGCTCAACCCTTTCATATCTCTTCCAAGCCAGCCCTAATCATCTGACAAAAAAATGACAATCCCTTGATTTAGCTCCAGCTACTACTCCACTGGGTTGGTATCTAACACAATTCTACAATAATGAAATCTGAATTGCCTTGATGAAGATAACTGTTGCTTCCATGACCACCACACTATTAAGTCTAGCAGAGCAACTTTTCCCTCTTTAGGAATTACACAGGCTTCCTCGCTGGAGCTGATGACAACCTGGACCCAAGTATAATGGGAAAATAAAATAGAGGTTAAAGCCACTGGCAGACTGCCAGCGCATTCACAATTTATTTTTAAAATTAACTTTCACACAACTAACACTCATGCCTAATTTTGCTCTTTATTCTCTGTACCTGGAAATACATTTTGTTTCTGCTAATATAAAAAGCTTTTCTTCTCTGACTTCCAACAAACTAATAAAGGATTATATTACTTTTTGCTAGAAAACAATGAAAGAAGAGATCACATGGAGCAATTTCTTGAAACATCTTTATAAAGAAACGACAAGCAATTCAAGACACGAAGTGCTGATCTATCTCAGCACTTAAAGCCATTATTAGGAATAATGATCTAACTTGAACATATGAATGAGACTCAAGTATTGCTTTCACTGAGGCCTATTTCAATTCCTATGAGACCTACTGGTATCAAAGGGAGAGGCAGTTTAAAATACTACTGTACTGGGAAGAAAAGAAAAGAATCAAAAGATGGATGTTGAAAAACAGCATTTGAAATGTAAGAAAATAAAATCAGAGGTTATGGCTGAAAGTTATTCAATAGACTTTTCTGTCTGAGAAGATAAACGTATTATTAGACTAGAACTGTCTAACAGAAATATAACATGGGCCACAAACGTAAGCCTCATATATAACTTTAAAATTTCTGAGAGCCATATTAAAAAAGAAAAAAGAAATGTGTGAAATTAAATGCAATATATTGTATTTAACTCAATATAGCTAAAATATTATCATTTTCAGCATGTGTTCGACATAAAAAATTGAGAAATTTTACATTCTTTCGTTTGGTTAAGAGCTTGGCTGCTAACCAAAAGGTCGGCAGTTCGAATCCACCAGCTGCTCCTTGGAAAACTTATGGGACAGTTCTACTCTGTCTTATAGGGTCACCATGAGTCGGAATTGACTCTATGGCAGTTTTTTTTTATTTTTGGTTTCTTTCAGACAAAGTCTTGAAATCCATTGTCTATTCTACACTCACAGCACATCTCAATTTGGACTGGCCACACTTCAAGTGCTCAATAGCCACATGTGGCTAGTGGCTATTCTACTGGACAGTGCAGAACTGTATGTCTGACATGTAAATAGGCACAAATGCTTTCATCCATTAAGATTCAGTACTGACAGTTCTCCAACTTACCTACAGTTCTCTTTTAGTTATGTTAGTTTTATTTCTTCTGAATAAGGTTTTAAGAAGTCAAATTCTGGAACAATTCCTTCTCAAAAAAATCAAAACTAAATAAGGGTTCAAATCATTGCTAAAAATACATATATAAATGTATGTAAGTAGGTAAATTGACAGACAGAATGACACTTAGGACTATGTGCCAAAATGCTACCAATGGTTTCCTTAAGGGGAGGAGAGGAAATGAGCAGAATTCTAACTCCACGTAACTGAAACATTTTAAAAGTACAGAGAGACTGGCTTTTTAATTTTTAAGGATTTTTCAAATAAAATTTTATAGAAGTGTAACAGTTCTGATTCTTTAAAGATCTGGAACTCCTCTAAAATATAAGTGCCACTAGAATTCTACATAGGTAAAGCTCTAGGTCAAGGAGTCCTGGTGGTACAGTGGTTAAAGTGCTCAGCTGCTAATGAAAAGGTGGGCTGTTAGAACCCACCAGCCACTTTGCAGGAGAAAGATGTGTCAGTCTGCTTCCGTAAAAATTTACAGCCTTGGAAACCCTATGGGGCAGTTCTACTGTGTCCTCTAGGGTCACTATGAGTCAGAACTGACTCAAAGGCAGTGGGTTTTAAAGCTCTAGGTGAGAAAGACCAGACCCCATGACAGCTGTCACTTCTTAACTGTGCAGAACATGTAATGGTAATGTCTAAACCTTAGTATTATGTTCTTACCTGGATTGAAACAATAATTATTTTAAACTCATTTTCACAGAGTTAGAATTTCAACTATTACAAGCTTTCCCCCCAACTTATGGACATTTTCAAAAAATGCCTTTGTTTCTGTGAATTTTCCTTAGGAAAAAAGATAGCAAATTGGTATACAGGCAGTCCCAGGGTTCCGAACATCCAGCTTACATGGATAATGCCTACTTGCCCTTTAATGTTATGTAAATTTGCCCTCACTTTGAAATAACTGAACCAACCCCTACTCATAACAAATTCTTCATCACAATCACCTTCACTTGCTGCACGTGCAGCTTTTAAATTATTGAAAAGGCTTCAAGCCTTTTCTTGCACTAACCAAAACCAAACCCACTGCTGCACAGTCGATTCCGACTCATAGTGACCCTAGAGGACAGAGCAGAACTGCTCATAGGGTTTCCAAGGCTATAAATCTTTATGGAAACAGACTGCCACATCTTTCCCTCTTGGAGCGGCTGGTGGGTTCTAACTGCTGACTTGTAGGTAGCAGCTGAGCACTAAATGACTGCACTTCCAGGGCTCCTTTTTCTTGCATTAAAGCGAGGCTAAATAAGAACCTGTTCCGACTTACCCACAAATTCTTAATGACGCACTCTGAAATGGATCTCGTTCGTAAGCCGGGGACTGCCTGTAAGTCTATCTCTGTATCACCCTGTGTACAGAGAATTACCAATTATGTTCCATGACCTGGAAAGTCTATACAACTGAACACGAAGATGCAGAAATCCAGATTCAGTCCACCCTGGGTTTACCATGCCTTCCTTCGACCAACCAGGGCTTAAAATAAATCATCTGCAAGATTTTAGCTAACTTCCCAAGTACCATCCAACTCTTCCGTTAACAAAGCTTTGGAGCTCTTCTTAAAACTTCAGCAGTTTGTTTTATGGTAATATAAAAGGGATGCTGAAAATTCCATCCATGACATAGGCAGGCTGTTTTTAGGGAGGCATCTTAGAGCCTTACAGAAGCAGAACAGGTAGTGGGAGGGACAGGTGTCCTAGAGGGGACTATATAGGAAAAAAACAAAACCAAACAACAAAAAAGCAAAACCCACAGTGGACTTCTGACTTTCAAATACGTTTGTTAATTTATCATGATCACAAAATTAATTTACAAATAGTGCTTAAATCACAGTGATCACTGCAAGAGATAAAACTGATTGAAACCTAAGCTCTCAGTCATAGTTAACTTTCTCCACTTCTAAGGTCTATATTCTAAGACAGTAAGCTTCTCCTTAATACGATTTCAGTTAAAACAAACACTGTCCCTGAATGAGGAAGAATCTGATGATGAACAATTCCTCTCTGGTCTCCCCTGAAATGGAAATTTTTAGATGAGCATACAATCCTCCTACTCTTGCTCGCCACCCCCCTCCACCCATGGCAACTTCCCAATATTTCAAATCAAGTTCAAACTCTTTTTGTCGTGGTAGTGCAAACGTATTTAAACGCTACCTCATATGAAGTCCAACTAACTACAAGATGGTCACGTGGCGGCAACTTCCCTTGTTCTAAACCTGCTGAAATCAGACTCATTCAACAAAGGTCACTACAAGTAATACCTTCTGGA